GTAAATTAGCATTTCCTTGTTAGTTCATTTTCCTTAAAACTTACGCTAACAAACCCCAGTATGAGCAATCTAGGACAACAAATCAGTGTATATTCATGAGCAAAACAAGTAAAAAATCCATTTCAAGTACCTAGGGAATTACTGCAAGCAGAGTGGGATGGTAAGAAACAACTTTAAGATATCATGAAAACACTTTAATAGTGTCTAAGGATACGTTAGATGCAAACATCTCATCTGGAAGAGGAAATCAAGTTATGTGAAAGCCAGTGTTCAAGCAGCAGTATTATATTTTGCACTCAATTCAATTAATGGGAAAAAAAGAAAAAAAAAAAAAATCAGGTTGGCCTCAAGCCTTATTGTACTGCTTTGTAATAATCCTCTCTTGCTGCACGGCTTTCACAGGAATACGTAAAAAGAGGTTGTGTTATAAAAATAGCTCTACCACAATGCAGCGAAACTGGAAATATTTGTAATTCAAATGTGAAACATTTCACTTATTGAAAAAGTTATCTTACAGAGCTGCATTGTTGTATCTTCTTGCATACACTCCCCCCCCCAAATAATAATAATGAAAAAAAAATCAGCTGCTGGAAATTGTGATGCAAGCATTAAGCAAGGATATACAGTAACAGATCTTGAGCCTCTTCAGGGAGAAAAAGTAACGCTGCATGTGCTGTACAGAGGGCAGCACAGTGAGCGCATGACGCTGCCTAGCTGCTGGCTCTGGACAAACCCCCCCGGCCCCCTTCCCCTTCAGAGGCTGGTGCTGCACAAACTGGCTGTGGCCGCCTGTGCAGCTCTGCTCCAGAAGAGCAAAGGGGCCTGGCACTATGGCCCAGGCAGCAGCACCTGTAGTATCCTTCAGCTGGGGCTTTAACAGAGCATCCACTGTGTTTTGCTTCCCCTCTGCCCCCAACTGCAGCCACTTGTTTTCCTTGAGAAAATGCCATAGATATGCTTTTAAGGAAAGTGTTTCTTCCCTTCATTCTGCCTTTCAAGAACAAGGTGTGTGTTATATTTGGAGAGTGCTGTATCCAAGGAAATACAGTATTTTACTCTCAAAAGCCTAACTGCCTCCCACAGAACCGCGTGTACAAGGCAATTGTCATTTAAACTGCAAGCTAGTCCTGAAAGCCCTCATCTTATCTTCAAAATGACTGGCCAGCAGAGGCAAGACTGCTGCTCAGAGCATCCCACATAAGCATCTTCCCTATTTTCCAAGTTTGGGAACAGAGCGTGGAAAACAAGCAACTTTCTACAAACACGGGAATCCATGTTAGGACCAGGATTTCGATGCCTAATCCTCTGTCCAGGTCCTGCTTTACAGCAGCATCCACTCTATGTTTGGAACAGCTTTTGTGGCCATGTTGCTTCATTGCTAACTCCTCATTTCTGTATTGAGATTTGAGACCAGTACTAACAAGAGCAAGACAGAAAAGTTACAAAATAGTCTTGCAGCAGAGTACAGAAAGGTGTTCACACTACCTCCCAGAGCACTAATGAAACCACTTCAAGTCACTTGCTGATTGAAAGCAGGTGGAACAACAGAGTCATTGCCAACACACAAGATATTGTCAAATAGCCCATTTCCTCCCTCCCCTCCACCCATTGCTTGAGATCTCTGCTGGACTTTGGTAGGAATCAAACTGCAGAGCACTGTACGAAGCACAGCCCTTTCAGTAGTGCTGAGCACAGAAGAGCGTGCTGGCTCTCCGTTCGGTACAAAGGGAACTAACGCTCATAAACCTGAGCTTGGATCATTTACTCTGTGATGTGGTTCAGATCAGACAGAACTTGCCAACACTAAATTATTTGATTTAATGACAGAGTAGCTTAAGTGCTGGGTCAATACAGCATCATGGGAAGAAGGACTACAAAAAAAAAAATGAAAATGTGACTTGCATTAAATTGCTCCTGCTTTCTTTTCTTTAGCCCTTCTGGAAAGAAATATCCTTTAAACACCCAAGGGAATGCCGAATCAAAATCTCTTAAGCTTTCTTATTAAGGAACACAGGTTTCGTACTTTAGTTCAGATTAAAATGAGGTTCATTCTCAAGGAGAGAAATAGGATTACCACCTCCTTCCACCTGGGTGTCTGTGAACTTGGAGCACAATGACAGAAAGATGGGCATCAAGGGCTTCAGCAGAAACGTAAGTCATGCAGGGAAGGAAACCGTGCAGAATCTGTGGCAAATGTTCAGCTCAAACATATGGCTTCGAGCTAGAGGTGCACCAATAAAGATTTTCTTGGCTGATACAAATAGCCACTTATTAACCAACCATTATTGGCCAATGCCAATCCAATAACTGATATTTAGTAATAATGCAAGGCATTTTAAACTACAGACATAAATAAACCTTTTTTTTTGGCAGCTCCAGCAGCCTCCTCTGTCTCATGGGAGGCTGAATGGACCCGGCTCTTGGAAGGGCAGGACCCAGCTAGGCTGAGGCTGGGGGAGGACTAGGGTGACCACCTTTGCAGAAGGGGAAGGCAGGACACGTGCCCACCTTCCCTCCCCCACCAGCACTGATGTGGCTGGACCAGAGCAGAGTGGAGCTCGTAGGGGGTGGATGTGGGATTGGGGCTCCTTTCCTATGGGAGCCCCATGCTGGCTGTGCACCCCGTCTGCCTGGCAGCAGCAGGGGACACAACCCCACACCACCTCCCCTGCTGCTGCTGGATGGACAGGGGGTGCCTCGCCATGGTGGTGTGGCCAGCATGGGGCCCTCCCAAGGGCAGGGAGCCCACACCCATGCTGGCCCACACAAATCACATGCCCCCCAGACAAGCTGCCCATGGCTCCACCCTGCTCCCCCAGCCCCTGCCCCACTTCCTCTCTTATCATGAGGGCCTTGATCTGCTCCCATCCCACTCTCTATTCCCCCTTCCTCCCAGACTTACCTGCAAGGATCTGCTGTCCAGGCTGTATTCCCTGCCATGTGCATGTGTGCAGGTGCACACATGCATGCGGCACCCCATGTCCCACTCCCAGCAGCCCATTGCACACTGGAACTTTGCTGGGGAAACCCACCATTTTCTGATCCCTGCCAGAGGCTGTGAATCCTGGACAAGTGCTGCCCCAGTCACACAGCCTGGGCCCGGGACTTGAGGTTTGCATGGAGGGACTGTCCTGTCCAATTACGGACAGATGGTCACATCAGGGAAGACTCTGCTGTACATAGCAGGGAGTGGAGCAGGGAGCAGCTGTCTTGGTTTTGCCCCTGGCCCCCAGACTCCTGGGTATGGAGGGCTGAGGTAAGGCAGGCCAGGTTGGGCAGCTCCGTCCACCCCTCCCCACCCCAGTCACATCTCTGTGGCACTGACTGCCTTTTACGGTGTCCACCCCAGCCCCAGCCTGCAGTCCGTGCCGCGCCAGCAAGTGTGCCAGATGCTCTGCTCCGCTCCAGTCCAGCTCAGCCTGCCAGCGAGGCAAGGATGGGGACAGAAAACAGCTCAGGCCCCTGTATCCTGATCAGGGCCTCCATGCTCAAGGTCACCCCGGCTCACAGAAGGGAACCCAGGCATCCAGCGCCTCAGCCAGCAGGCATAATTATTGGTCAATGTTATCGGCTACAACAGCCAAAAAAAGCCGATAATCGCATTTCCCTTTTATCGGTGCTGATCCAATAGGCAACCAATATATCAGTGCACCTCTACTTCCAGCACAAGCTTCTTGGACATTGACTCTGCTAGAAATCAGTTTCCATGACCAGGATGAGAATGAGGACTATTGCACTCTCTTCACCCTTAACAAGACAGCTCTGAATCCAGATCACGCAAGCACACAGCAGAGACCCTGGCACTGGCTTCTCAGGGCAGATCAGCTGCACATTATTAACAAAGAAACCAATTATCTGGTCAATATCACATCTTGTTAAGCTACTTAGGAACCTGCTAGAATAGGCAGGATCCAAAAAGCGCTCACAGGTGGAATGCTTGCTGCGCTCTGTTCATGAGTCAATACACGGGACACTCTCTGCTCTTTTCCATGAATTGATATTTTCTTATTTTCTGAACTCAGGAAATAAATGGGACTGAAACGGTCAACTGAAAAGCTAGTCAATTAAATATAAATAAATAAAGAAATAAAAGCCAACAATAATTTCAGGGAGCTGAGAGTGTTTTGGTTAAAAAACCTTCCACCCAGCATCACTGCAAGCTCCTAACATATGACTATGGTTTCATTTTCATTTTGTGATGCTGAAAAACACACAAATGAGAGCGGGGGAAAACTAACAAACCTGGAAACATTCATTCGAACTCTACACAAACTGCCAAAACAAATGGAAAATGAAATGAACTCTTTTCAGTTATAGAAGCATTCTGTAAGGATTCACTTAGTGTAAAATAAAGCTTAAGAGTCTTTTGGGGGACATCATGCTCTCTCACATCTTTTATTTACCATTATCTGTTCTTTTAACAGTCGCACACAGACTGAGTCTATAATGATACTTGGCATAATTTAGGGCTTTAAGTACTCGGAGCATTAGGTAGACATTAACACTCATGTGTGCAAGGTAGGCAATTATCTGCTCTCCCCATTTCATCATTAGGGACGCAAGCGATGAGCTAAGCCTCCTGGGCCACTGCTGTTCTTTCACAAACACGCAGAACCCTGCACTCCACTTAACAACCAGTGATGATTTCAAAGTTTTCATAAAAGGACAGATTTGTTATGGGGGGGGGGGCAGGGAGAGCTGTTAATTCTATACTTTTATAGTGTATTTCCCCTCCTCAAGAGACAGGAGGCTCGCTGGACAGTGAAAGAAAGGCAGTGGGAAGAAGTGCCACACATACAAGATGAGGAGAAAGCCCACCTTGGAAGGATGTGCTATCCACAAACATTCATCTTTGGGAAGACTCAAATGATACCACAATTTGCAAATACATTGAGGTCCAGAATAATCCCTTTCCCTATGGCAGAGGGAAGTCGTTACAAAATACCACAGCTCATTAGATTGCCTAATAAATCACACTTTTGCCATCAGAGGAAGAGATGTCTGGTGGAGGTTCATGTGTTTGTTTTGGTTTTTTGAGTTATACATTAAATTGAAATATACTGATATTCAATACAGCTAAATCTATTCACATAAGAGCCAATGATATTTTTAAGAAGAAATGTTTCCATTTACTGTCCTTAAAACATCATCTTAGTTTCTTGAAAAGTGAAGTTGTCTAACAGAAGACAAGGCAGAAGAGTTACAAACTCCGCAGGTATTTAAAAGTCTTCTTGGTATTGTATTGATATAGTAAAATGTCCTAAATTGAAAGCTCCAGACTGCTGATCTGGAGGAAAGTGTTAATCTGATTCTTTCAGCTTCTCTCAAATTTAAAAATAAACACTAGACTAAGAACCATTATTTTTTCTGACTACTCCCATGTATCCTTCCATGTTCCTGTAGCACATTTTTATTTCTTGTTCAGCAGGCTGATAAGTAGGGGGAGAGCAGTCTGCTCATACAAGGCAGCCTATGCAGATAGACTGCTTAAAGGAATAGTTTCAACACATATAGGATAACACTGTTCTATTCCTATCTGAATATGAAAGAATACTGTTTCCATAGGAACTAATGCTTTTCTGTTTAAAAAAAGTTCAGTAAATAATATCTGGGTGGATTCTAAGAATTCAGCTGCCAAAAGAGAGAATATTGATCCTATCATATGAAAAAGATGCATCTTAGCTAAGACCATGCAGAAATAAAAGGAAGACTCTAGCTTAGGGAAAGAATGCAAAACCAAGAGGAAAAACTGTCCACAAAAATATACATAGTTGGAAAAAAAAAGAAGAAGGTCTGCTTGGCAGGACTATACATACCATACAAAACACCTTTCCCTTTTAGAAGAACACACTCTAGTTTATGTTATATTTCAGAATTTCTGATTCATGAGAAGTCTTTCAAATTTGGGGGTGTAATTCCAATTGGGGGGGGAAACACGACCAGATTTTAAAATGTCAACATTTTCTGAAAAGAAGAAATTCTAAGTTTCAACCAGCTTTTCCAGATTCTCCCCATTACAAACCTACATATTTGGTGTAACAACTACAATTTGGCGTACTGTTAATACACAACCATGAAAACTCTACATTTTGTTGGAAAAAGCTTGCAAAGACACAAAACTAAAAAGGAGATGCATATATTTGGTTTGCAGAGTGCAACAGTCCAGAACAAATATACAGTGCATTGTATGCTATGTCCGACACTTCCCACACAGACAGCTCGCGATCAAATATAGTTAGTTTCCTCCTCCATTCAGTCTAAGGTCTGTGAAAATTTTACCACTTCATCAGGTTTTGCCTACATGATTTTTCAGTCTTTACATAACTGTCATACAATTCTCGCAGATGCAAGAACAATTCCTCCAGATTGTCTCCTGTCAATGCAGACAGTGGGATGACTCTCTGCTCCACTTGTTCTTTAAGGAGTGGTAAGTTAGCCCGAGACTGAGAAAGATCAATCTTATTCCCAATGACAACATGAGGTCTCTTCGACAAGCCTTCTTGGTATCGCTCCAGTTCATATTTTAAGTCTTGCACCTGAATCCATGGCTCTTGCACAGAGAGATCCACCACAAACAAGAGGAAGCGGCAGCGTTCAATGTGCTTTAGGAAGGTCAGCCCTAGGCCTTTGTTTTGATGAGCTCCTCTTATTATACCAGGAATATCAGCAACTACAAGAGAAATGCAACTGTGAACATGTTTAACACAACAAGGAACAGTATGTGACTGATCTGTCTAGATACTTGTCCAGCTACCATTCGCTGCAGCATTTGAGCAGACTGCATGAACCTGGCTGCTTTGTTTCTTGCAGCCCTGAAAAGGCACATCATTTCACCAGACATGCATACTGCACATTCCAAGTCAGAGAATAAGGGTAAAGAAGCAGTAATGTACAGCCTTTTGTAACTCATACCTGCTACTTGTTCATAATCTTGATAGTGGACAATGCCTACATGAGGATTTAGTGTTGTGAATGGGTAGGAAGCCACTGCCGGCCTTGCATTGGAGATGGCTCTCAAAAGCGATGACTTTCCAGCATTTGGGAATCCCACCTGGAATACAGACATGAAACAAGGCCACAACTCTGGATGAACCAAAATAGAGTGCTCTCTCGTCACTATGCAGCAATGATTCTTTGTTAGTCATAATAACTTAGAATTGCCCAAGCACAACTAAATTAATCCTCTACGGCCATTTCTAATACCTGGCTCCACATTTTCTATTTTATTTCTTATAATCATTTCATCATTAGATATTAAAAACTTCCCACGCAGACATTAACAAATCATATTCATAACCACTCTCCTGGAACCAAACACTGACTAATATGTCCAAATTAATGCACTCTATATAAAAGCAGATCAAATTTTCTAAAGTGCCGGGTATAAACATCACTGAGTAATCCTCAGAGTAGGGAAGGGGAAGAGATCTTGAAAGCCATGCCGTTGCTGTTCAAGACCCAGAACAAAGAATCGTTTGAGAAAGGGGTAGGTTTGGCTCTTTCCTTTCCTTTAAATAAATCTTCAAAGCTCTTCTAGACCAAAGGAATGAGTCTTCTACCAATAACAATGCAACATCAGGCTTCCCTGTGTAGTGACAAGAAAGTGACAGGACTGCAAATCACTGCATACACTCTGCTATCGAAGCATACTGACATATCTCTTAAACAAGTTGGCGAAGAGAATACAAATGCATTATAAATGACATTCTTTCTACAGCTATTCAAGTGACATCTTAGAAAAACAGAAGAAATACCCACCAAGCCAGCATGAGCCATAGTCCTTAGCTCCAAGTGGAGGACTCTTTGCTGTCCTGGCTCTCCCGGAGTAGCTGTTGTCGGTGCTCGATTCTCATTGGACAGAAAGAACTGGTTGCCTTTTCCTCCAGATCCCCCATAAGCAGCAACATATTCTTCACCGTGCTTAGCGAGATCAGCCACAACAGTCCCATCCTCCTTAACCAGAGTGCCAATAGGAACCTTGAAAACAGAGAGATCCAAGGGAAGAAACACAACACACAACCAAGCCATTTCAAAATTCTCAAATGTACTTTCTCCAGTGGGAGAAGAATGTCTTCAGGTTATGGCTTCATGCGTGCGCACACACACACCTTTCAGGGTGAAAGGAAATACTAGAAAGGACCCAGAGGCGTAGAACAGGCCAATGAAGCATTCTGTCTATGACCAAGGAACACAAAACATTTGTCGTTAAAATACCAACAAACCAATGCAAATTTATTTTTCTTCTTTCCATCGTTAGGCCATCAGAGAGGGGACATGCGGTGCAAAATCTCAGATTACCAGTAAGGAATAAGGAGACAGATTTCTAGCAACCCATGGAATCTCCAAAGTGGGAATAATTTGTATTTAAAAATAAATACATTAAATAATGAAGAAGATCTAGCACCGCCAAGACAGATAAGCAGACAGGAACCCCCTTCCTCTATATAAATCTAAATCAACATGATGTATGTCTGCTAGCACCTTGATGGCATGGATATACATGCATGTGTTTTCCAGATTTTGTCTAAGCTGTCTTTTTCCATATTTTGAAAACATTAAGCTTACTCTGGAAATTAACACAAATGAAATACTACGTTAAAAGCTCAACCCCTGCAAACACTTTAGATCCAAAACAGATCATGAAAATGGAGTTTATGAATTCAATGCTAAGCACAAGTATCAAACATAAGGCAATACCTACTCTGGAGAAAAAGGCATATTTTAACCAAACCTATTAGTAAACAATTGTTAAAACCCAAGCCTAGGCAGGAAGTAGTTTTTATACACATTAGCCAGTGTACATATGCCTTGACTAAGGTGTTGCAAATACATTTTTCTATGTAGGTAAGATGAGGTCTAGAGACAAAAGGAGGCCTCAATCATTCGGGTTCACAAAAGTACAAACTACAAAGATGACCCACATATTTAATCCCCAGACCAAGTAAGGAGAGATTCAGCAGCGTACTGCCATTCTTGTTCTCTTTACAGAAGCCTATACAAACTGGAAAAAAACCCCTCAAACTAAAAAAAGCATCACTGCTAGAAAAATATATATAAACTTAGAACCAAGATAGGGACTAGGCATTAAAACTGACATCCTGGGCAACAGAGCTCTCGCCTCCCAGGTGGTATTCTCTGACCACCCTGCAAAATGGCTTTTGGAAGAAAAGTAAGACTGGCAGTACTGATTTAGATCAGATGCATCATCCGAAGCAGTGCAGGTGTTTGAACTATGTAAACAAGAAAATCTGGTCATTTTTGTTTGTAAATAGCCTGATCCTGCAAACACTTACAATGCAAATTCTCATACAAAGCTATCGAAATATTTGCCAATTGAAGCTTACTTTAATATATATTTGTCCACCATTGGCTCCAAAACAGTTTCTTTTTCCCCCTTTTACTCCATTAACACCCCGATAAAATGGGAGGATCGAAGAAAGAGATTTGACTTGCCGGTCAACTATAAGGGAAAACATACATGGTTTAAATATGTTACTTATATCAAAGAGCAAACAGAAGAATAATATTTTGACTAAACTTTAATCTTTTCAACAGTACATAAACAGAAGCATTCCACATACTGGTATGAGAATGCAAGAAAGGTAAGCAGTAACGTAAAATTTAGGCTTCTCCGTGGTTTTATTTTTTTCTTAGCTTCAAACAATACATGGATAACAACATGGTCATTTAAAACTCAGTATGATCACTATATAATTCTTAATACCTGTAATGAACAATTCACAATGATCAATTCAGCACCTGTCATGGAGTTTGCAATGTGAGGATAGGGGGTGATACAATCAGACAGGGGTGCACTGCACTCTTGGCTGATAGCGATAGCCAATTATTAACCAGCCATATCAGGCGATACTGATCTGATAGCCAATTTACAGGAATACAGCCCAGCAGCATGGAAAGCGGTGTCTGACCAATAAGTCTGAGAGGAGGAGCGGGGGGTAGGGTGGGGGGGAAATGTGGGAGAGAAGGGAAGGTTGAGCGCAGCTCCCCACGGCTGCGCGCACCCCTAGGGGAGACATGGGGGCCATGCTCCATCCTGGATTTGTACATGAGGCAAAGGCAAGTTGCCCACTATGGGCTCAGGGCCAGGGGCTGTGCCAGCCTCATGCAGGCGTGGGGGCTGGGCTGAGCGCATGGCGGACTCAGCTGTAAAGTGGGCAGCAGTGGTGCTGGATGGGGTGGTTACAGGGAATTTTGGTGTGGCTATAGCTCCCCCACCCCCAGCCCCCCTCTAGCACTGCCCCTGCTCGGGGCACTCTGCTCTACTGCCTTTCCTTCGCGAGCTGCACTGCACCACACCTTCCAGCACTGCCGCCAGTGCCTGCCCCACCCCTTCCCAGCGCCCCAACTGGGAAGAGGCTGGCACAGCCCCTGGCCCCAAGCCCGGAGTGGGCGGCCTGCTCTTGTCCTGCACACAAGATCCAGGGGGGGCACATGCCTCCCCCAGGGGTGCAAGCAGCAGCAGCGAGACACCCATCCTCCTGCTCCCCCTCCCCACCCTCCCATGCTCCCTGAACAAGCAGCCCATGGCTCCGTCCTACTCCTGGCCCTGGGGCTGCATTCACTGCCCTGGCTGGGCAAGGTCTGTCTCCATCCCTGCCCCACTCCCTCCCTCACCGTGGGGGCCCTGATCTGCCTCCCCACCCCTTTCCCCCACTCCAAAGACTTACTGGCTAGGTGCTGCTCGGAATGCTGCCAGGCTGCATTCCTGGCCATGTGCACGCAGCATTTATTGATGACATTAATTGGCTACACCCACCAAAAAAAGTTGATGGCCAATAATGTTAATTTCCCTTTTACTGATGCCGATCCAATATGCCACCAATATATTGGTGCACCTCTACAATCAGACTGAGAATTCAGTTCAGCTACTCCCATCTGACAAATGACTATGTTTTACAGGTGTTTCATATGAAACATCTGACATGGAATTTTTTCAAATCATGCCACACAAGCTGTGATCCTATCCTACCTTTCATTAGACAGTTGTACAGCACTTAGCACAATGGAATCTGTGTTCTATTATAATGCAAGAATCATCACCTCAAAAGCAAGGTCAGGCTAAGCCTGTAGGTGGCAACGAAAGTGCCACTGGTGTTATTTAAATGCTAAATATTATCACACAGTTGAGAACACTGTCTTTTGAATCAGTACTGATGAACCAATAACTGAAGAAACTAAAGATACTACTGAAGAAACTGCAACTGGAAATGCTTCCATTTTGGATGAGAACTAAAAACCAAAGTCCTGACCACTTATGAGAATTAGGAAAATTACAACGTGTTGTTTTTTCCTAAAAAAAGTGTGGACAAATTGCAAGTTGCTAAGTCATATTCTGATTCATTAAGTCTCCCTGACACCTAGTCTAGTTTCCATGGGATTCAGAATTCCCTGATGCCAATTCTGTATTATAAAGATTCCCTTTATAGGAAAGCTGATGCATTTCACAACTAGAGTAAAGGAATGCTACTGGTAAAGGAGACTATTGTAAATGTGGTTTTGTAAAACTCCTTAGGGTCCTTGGAATGCAAGTTACCACACAAGGCTAAAGAAACAGCAAGTTAAATAAACCAAGTTTTACTTTAATACTGGTAAGTAGTACTTCTGGAAAAAGTCTACTTTACAAGTATCTAAGAAAATATCAAAGACTTACTAATTTGTCGTTTAAAAATGGGACTATCAACTGAAAACAAGGTTACCTAAAACCAAGAGAAATTCCACGTGCAACTGCTGACCAAAATGCAAGAACAAAAATACACCTCTTCTCTCCTTCAAATATGCAACTCACTCCAAAGCTCACTAGGAGGAGTTAATTGGCAGTTTGAAGAGCAGAGGGCAGCATGTAAAATGGGGGGTGGGGGGAGAAGGGGTGTGGATGGCACAGACTGAGGCCCTCA